GCAGATCAGTTAAACGTGGCTGATCGTATGAAGATCAAGATGTGTTAATTTCAGGCACCCGCAGCACCGGTTTTGAGTCTGTTCTCGAGATTGCCTGAGATTAACACTTTTTGAAACGTGTATATCAAACATGCAGCTTGTCAGATTAATAATAGAAGTTTTCTGGAAAACGGTTCATCTTAGCGATATCACACAAGAGTACCGTTTTCAAGCAGAAGCTTCCAGCTATCCAATTTTTTTTTCTGTTTTCTGTGCCTCTTTATCATACAGGGTGTTCAAAATATGACCATTAATGCACCAACCTGATCGCGCCCTGGTGTACTCAAACAGAAAGTATACGGTGTACAACGCTTGGCATAATTTTATTACGATAAGTTGCTATGATAAGACCTCACGAAATTGGTAACTTTGACGTACATTATCGCTTTATTGATGTCAAATACAAGTTCCAAGTCTATTTTGTCTATTTTAATAAAAATTCCAAGTAAGGCAAAATGTCATCTTACCTATCTAATCCGGATTCTTGTTGGCAGTGACTTGCATAGGCTACTGTTAAAGACTTATTGCATCGTTCAGTTTGTATTGCCGAGACATAAAAAACGAAATCGAAATCGGGAATACCCTCGCCGGGAGTTGAGCCTGGGTACACACCACACCGTTGCCCTGTGGCATTGCACACTCTACAAGCATCTAAATGTTCTACCGGCACTTCAACCTCTCCACACATTGTCCGTTCACTGCAATCGTTTATGCAATGAGTTTTGCCGTTTTTCACAAATACTTGAGGATCGTCGCATTTCCTGAAAAATATTAATTACTTATTTTGTATTGAAACTATTTGTACTTGGCGAAATGTTGGAGATGGTCTTACCCATCTCGCGCAGTGCCACGCAAATGGCTTGGTGCGCCAACCCAACGCACCGGRGCWYTYACRCAGTTCCGTTGCTGYGAAAATGTTMYTGACTTTTTCTACTTSTTTTTAGATTTATTTTAAGGGCCATTTATCAATAATGTTTTAACATTTCTTCAAAATTTCAGAATTTTCCAGTTAATCTTTTTTCTAGATGCTTTTTAAGAAAGTTAATCTTTTTACTAAATGGTAAATTTTCAAAAAAAAATCAATTAAAATACTGACAATTTTAAGGTATTTTTGTTAAAAAAATATGTTTTCTTAGTTTTAACTGATTTTTTTTGCTTTGCTTTCTACTCAAAAACGCTGTATTTCGTAGTTTTTCTTAAAAATACTTACGATCTGGATGTATTTTACGCGAAAAATTACAAGATATATTTATAGCTTTCTAGGAATTTTACGAAAAGTTTTTCGGAGTCGAATTCGGGACAAAAACGAAAAAAAACCGATCACAACACTAAAAGTTTTAAATCAAAAAACGCAAAAAAAATAATTTTCTGATGATTTTCATCTTTTCTGACAATAATGGGGACTTTTCAGCCAAACATTACAAAATCAATTTTGCTAGAAAATTTGCCTCATTCATCGGTTTGCAGGGAACTTAAGAAAGCCCGAATTTGGCACAAAAACCAAATAATTTTATTCAGTTTTTCACCGAAAGTAATCTTTAAAGTTTCAGGTCATCCAGTTTAAGCAAAGTTTCTATTAAGCAATTCTTGCTAGGCAAAAAACGTATTATTTTTAGTTTTACTTAAAATACTGACAATCTTCAGGTATTTTCTGTGAAAAATATAAAATAAATTTTATTGGAACACGGCTCCGGAACAGCTATGCAATTTTTTTTTCTGGAACGTTTTGCAGCTTCGAATTTTGACAAGACCCTAATACATTTTTCTAAATTTTTTCCCAAAAATATTTGACCGAACAGAACAAGTGAAAGTTTATAATCAATTATTCGGAAAACTGGTCACTTTTGTCGCTCTGAATAATTTGGTTTATTTAAATTCCGGTTTCTTCACTTTTACAACCACATTTCTAAAGAAATCTCTCTCTAAACAGAACAACGCGGTTTTTTCTGTAACTGCAAAATACTGGCACTCACTTACTGGACTCTTTTATGCAAAAAAGTTAAAAGATGGATTTTACAAGAAAAGTTGTCGTCTTTACAGTTTGGTCTTCTTGATCATCTTTTTCGTTTACCCGTTTTACCTTTGAATTTGGGACAAAATCGAAACAAGGATATCTTGTTTTTTTTCGACAAAATTTAGGTTTCCTCTAAAAACGACCAGAGAAAGCAAAAGCATATAATCTCAAAAATATATGGAAAACCACCCTCATCACTCTGAAAATTTTAAAGTTTCTTCAAAATTTCCGGACTTTCCTGTTTTAGACCAAGACGTTTTCAAGCAATCGTATACACAAAAGCATTATGTTGATAGCTTTTTTTGTTAGATGTTAAAATTGCGACATCGCAGCGGCAACAACTCAAAAGCGCAACTCAACACAGTGGTTACTCAGGCCTAGTTTTTAGAAAGTTGCGCTACATATGTTTTAGTATAAGTTAATTAATATAAATATTAAGAACATTTTAAGGTATTAGATATGGATTGAGATCTCAAAATGTTGTATACTGTACATCGAGATATTTTGGATGCAGAATTGGATATAGCGCCGTTGGTTCGCTGCCGACTCGCTCTTTGCTACGCCGGCAGATGTTATCGGCGAATCGCTGGCAATCCACTATGCATACAGGCGTTAGTCCAGCGTCTTGCGGCCGTTTTAGCTTCAAGTCAACATCGCATATATGTCAAAGCTCTGAATAATATGCGCCAGTGATCGTTTTTCCCTTTTCAAAGTAATCGATGTGAATCAAAAAATAAATGAGTGGAAAAATTATGAAATGTTGACTGGTTGGACTGTTCGTTCGCACGTTCTTCTTGGTTGCAATCATCGCCAATAGACGAGACCATTCTTGTGCTTTCTGTTGTTGTATATTTTTCCACCCGATTGGATTTTCTCAAAAATGCCATCAGCCGCCTCCAGGTTCCTGACTGGGTAGTCTGGAGAACACTGGTATTTGAGAGCACGTGGAAAAGGACATTGGAAGCACGAGGTGCCGGTAAGCGATAATTAAGTCAGATCGATTAGGTTTTTTATGTTGTTTATGAACGTAGATTAAAGCGAATTCAAACGGTTAGCAGACGGTAATTGCGGTCGTCAAACCACGTGTAAGTTCAATCATGGATTATTTGAGTAGGTTCGGCACCGTACCATCGCTAGGGCCGGGGATTATGTATGGATTATGCAGAAAAATAGTATGATGTTGCAAATTAAGGCAACATACAGGGTGATTCAAAATTGGCGTCATTCCTTTTAAGGGGTGATGGAGGCTCACTTATAGAAGATATTAACAGTTGAAGATCGAATTTCAACTTTGCTATTAAGCATTATTTTGAAATTGTTCCATGTTTAAATGGTAGCATATTGGAATACTTAAGCATTCAAAAAGAAAAATTACGATCTTTGCTTCAAATTACGAAAATTTTCGATATTGAAAAAGTTCTGTTCT